GCGCTGCGGGGTGACGATCGCTATCCTCCCGCACCGCTGAGGCGCGGAGTTCATGTCTCTCCTGCACCGCTGCTTGGCTGCTGGTCATGGACACCGTGAAGTAGTGTGAGTGAGTGGGGATGCGAACCAGTGGAGGATACTCCCAGGTTTGCGGAATTTGTGTGTTTTATTTCAAGTACGCATGGTCAGGAGTGCCTCTTGCCGATAGGCGAGGGTACCGGTGGACATACGTTATCTTTTTCATGGCTTCTGACAAGAATTCAACTACTTGCATTGTTGATGCAAACAGTTGTGGCCTAGTGTCGTCATGTGGACTCTTCCACGAGGTATGTTGGACAGCGTTACCCCGGTTAATTCGGGGTGGTGGCGGGAATTTAATTCCCGGGATGTTGCGCAACTGCCTTTGTGGGTTTGCTCCACCGCTGACGGCGGTAGTGTCCAGCTGTTTGCGGACGCTCCTTGTGAGGGGGGTGTGATTAGCCATGGTTTAATCCATCACCAGGGATGTCGCGATAGTGACTGACCGGTGGTGTTTGGCTCAAGTTTATGGGTTCCGTCGCGCCTCGGATGGGCGTCGCCGAACCCCTGCATCGACCGACGACATCTCGGGGGAGAAAGAGACCTCGGGCCGCCGTCAGGTTGGTAGGGACCACTCGCGCGGCCTGTCGTCGATCAAGGTTGCGGGTTAACTCTTTTCTCTTTTGGTTGTTGTTCTCTGTGCGGGAAACCCTGATCTTTGGGACCGGGGATTGGTTTGCTTTTGGGGAACCTTTCTTTTGTGGCTTGTTTACCCCAACTTACCCATTGCCTGGGCACAGGCTCGTGCCCGAATCACAGAAACAACACACGGTGTTCATTAACTTTCCTCTTGCTGTTCTGTTGGCCAGATGGCTGTGGCTCAAAAACATGTACTAATATGGCACCTTGTTAAATGGAACCAAAGACTAAAACCTGCGCAACCTTAGCTCTTAAATTTTAAACCACACCCAGCTAGGAGGACCGGAGACGACCCTGAGGATGGGAGGGGATCATTCAGGGGTAAGCATTCAGGCTGATGCCCCAATGTCAAACTTATTGAGGCCTTTGTGCTGTACGACCCGTTTTGCCTATCCGCCTCTTGTTGGATATAGACAGGTATGTCACAGCCCAGGCAACTTCATTTAGGAGGATGTAGCCGCATGTATGCCCAAACAGACAGCTCGCCAGACTTGCAGATACCTGGAGGCGTTCGCAAAGAACTGAAGTCCTTGGGACCAGGACATGGATACAGATTTTGTTTGAAAAGTGGCTTTCTGTGAAGGGTGGGTTTGCCAGAACCCCCCCTCCAGTTTAGACACTGCTTGTTGCCTATGCCTGGGGTCCGGGGTTCGAAGAGTGTGCTTCCGAAGACAGGGAGTGCTCCTCTTGTTCCAAAAGCAACCATCCAAGAAGGGGGTCACTTGTTCTAGGAAGCAAGCATGGCGCCGGGGCAGGTGAAGGGAGGAGAGACAGTCTTCTGGAAGGACCCGACCAGCAAGGTGGCAGTCGAGGGGAACACACTACATGAAAGTCTATATTGCAACCGCCTTAGGATTGTTACTGTTGAGTTTTTTATTCTGATTTTGTGCTGCAAAGACGCCCTCAGTCTTCTTGGCTGAAGGGAGGGGCAAAGAGCGATGCTGGGCCTCCAGGGAGATATCAAATATTGACAAAGCCATGAGTTGGCTTTGCAGCGACACCCTCAGTTGGACTCGCTTTTGTTTGGGGCTACTTCACTTGTTAGAACCCAAAAACGGTAGTTCTTTTGAGGTTCCTCTACAAACATAAACAGTGGTTGATCACAACGAGCCAGTTTCCTTCTTCACAAAAGCTTGCTTCACTTATAGCGTATAACAGCTTCCATTGGTTTTCACGCAGGATGTTTGTTTCAATCCTTTAAGCCGTAGCAGGGTACGGTTACCTTAAAAAACACAAATACCCATACTATACCCATACTCTAGGGGTGGATTGCAGGTTTTCTAGAAAGAAGGATCCCTGGAAAGAATGGAAATGGAAGGTATCCCGAGAGTTACACAAGGAAGCTGCCTGCGAGGACCACGACGGCCGGCGTCCGGCTCTGGCCTTCCCGCCCACAAGGGGCGTGTGTCTCTTCCACGGACACGGGGACGAGTGCATGACTCACGAGGGCGCCGGGGTGGAGGACGCCTGGAAGGGCCGAATAGCTGAGGGAAAAATGGGTTATGTACCCTCCCACCAATCAACTAACATGGAAGTGCAAAAAGGCCCCTTTCCAAGAGGAAAGTAGTCTTGCTACAGGGGTTTGTGCACTTCCATGTTAGCTGGTGGGAGGGTAAGGAATGGCTGTGGGTTGCATAACCTATGGCGATCCCATTTTGGGGTGGATGAGCATCCATTTGCCACATATTTTGATGTTCACCAGGGGTACAGGGTTTTGTCCCACAGCCCCATGGGTAATGTAAGGGACCAGCAGGCAACAGTATGGATCGTTTTCCGCCATGATCATGACGAAATTTAGTTCAACAGTACCCCCCCCCATTCTAATTATTTACAACCTTGACCTTATATATAATATGCATTTTAAGTCCTCATGATGTCCACCCAAGGGCCCCAAAATTTACGTTAATCTCCCATGGGCAGCCGTTTGTTTTGGGCCTTAAACCCCTCAACCTACCTGGAACATGGAAATCACCCCATACATTTGTCAATATATTGCGTTTTGTTTTTGGTAGTTTGAGCGTGCAGGTATAAAAACGAGCAGCGCACAACATGACTACCAGAGCATCACTATTGGCTAGTCCACTATCGCATTTTTCTGGTTTTAGTATTGCCGGGTGGTATTCATCTAGGCGCATTCTCACGAGCTTAGCTGGGATTTTGGCGAGCTCACTCATGACGGGCTTTTATCGGAATGTGTTCTGATTTCCGGTTTGGAAACATAGGACACGCTTATGGGTCGCTGAAAAAAATGACTTCACCCAGAGGTTTGGTGACCGACTTTCCAGCTCAAGCCTGGGAAAGTTTCTGACCGTGAGACTCGAGATGATATCGCCGTCTCCATTCCGGATTTGCAAAACTCACGGACCTAGTGAAAGACGAAGCAGTTCCGGAGCAGAACGATTTCTCAACTAATCGGCAACACCAGGAGAGAAGGCTAGAGAAACGAAGGGGCTGGGCCCAATATCAACCGAAAGTGTTTTTTCTTTGGATGCCAACCAAAGCAATTCGAAGTTCTAGCCTCGAAGCAATGCTTCAGGCTTGCAACCATGAAAGCATAGCGCGGGAAGTGACACGAAGTGGGAATGTTACGTGCTTTGCAAACGTGTCCATCTGGAACCTCCGCAGCTCGCATGCCGAGGATGGCGCCAAGTACGTCTTGCGCACCGACGTGGTCTACGAGCTTGAGAAATGAGATTGACGGCCGTTTAGATGTTTGGACCCGGGGCGTCTGCCAAGGCAACTCAAAATGGGCCAAAGGCAAATGCTTCTGGACTTACTGATGGAAAGACAATAGTTGTAAGCATTGTTTGGACTATTTGGGCCAATGCACTCGGAAGGGCTTCCTGACGGAAATTGGGGTAACTTCATTTCACCGTGTTCAAATGGTCAAGGAGATGGCAGGTCTCGTTTGAGGAATGCTTAGATTGGCAATCTTCTTTTGGATGGTCTCCAAAGAAAAAGATCACAAAATGAGACCAATGATTGGTGGGATTCCATTGTTTGGCACACACCCGCGGGTCTTTTTGGTTGGAAGGGCAACCGTTGAAGGCAAGGTACGGACTCTTTGGCCGCATGCCGCCGAACAACGCCAGTCGCAGCATAGAACTCACTAGACAAGTCGGCCAAAGCACTGGCCTTTTGTACAGCTCCGGCTGCCATTTGCTGAGACGGAAGTATCGAAGAGAAGTTGGTTTCAAAGGCAAGTGGCCATGACTGGAAGGCAGTACGCGTTTCGTTGGTGGCAGCATCGCAAATGGAAGCTTCAGTGGATGGACAAGATCCACTTGTCCGCTGATTTGATTACTCAAGCATTCGGAGATGCGATGGCTGAGCGCAAAGTGGATGGAATTTGAACGGAGCTATGATTTGAGGCTGGGCAAGCTGCTCGCGACAGCTGTAGTTTTTTTGATACTAGGATGCAACAGAAGCTGAACTGGTCAGTTGGCAACTTCAAACTGTTTGTAAACTGTTTGTTGGTGAGGTTCAGTTCATCATTTTTTTAGCAACGACCAAAAAGATAGAACTCTTTCCGACCACTCATTTGAGAAGGGCAGGAAGGGAAGACATGGCATACAACAGCTTCAACATATTATTCAAGCATCGGTGCCTGGGATCCATTGCGGGGAGTTAGAGTCTGGCTCGGCTAAGTACTGGGAATGTGAAATGTCTTGAGTGATTGCACCAGTTTCAGTTTCTGAGGTTGGGGCAACATGAGGTTCGCTCAATCTATTCAGTACTCTATGGTCCATCTAAAGCTGGGGGAATATGGATCTGCTAAGCTTTCAACCGCCCAAAGCCAAGACTCACTGACTTTGCAGTGTGCTTTGCGGACACTACGTATTTTCACCGCGGCCCACGCGTAAGGGGCTACCCCTTCCCGTGTGGTTCAGTTGCCTCATTCCATCGCTTGACAGGCCACGCAGTCAGCTTGAAAATGGCAGTCGCTTCGCCGAGTCGCCGCCTGGACGCGGCAGGTTGGCAGAAATGGCCGTTGTCTTTCAGGGGCCAAACCACGGTGCAGAATTCGTATTGGGGCCTTTGGTCTTGGGAGCAGCCCTGACATGGTCTCAAAAGGGCCTAGATCTTGTCTTAATAGCCCAATAGGTGAAGGACAGGTGGAATTCAACTAAAGCGCTTCCAAGCCATTCTCCAGATGATTGGGTCATTCTCCTTTCTCTAGACCCTCGCTATTTGTGCTAATTGTCCTGGTAAGTTCTTCTTTGGTGGGCCCTTGAGCGCCTTTCTTTGCCTGCGAACCTGCCCATGTCCAATTGTTCTCCGAGGTTCCCTGCCCATGTGGTGCCCATCCTTACCTCGGTGGTGATCGAGTGCCAGCGCGCCAAGATGCCGGGCGAGGCGGCTGTGCCTGTGTTTGCTTGGTTTTTGTTTTTCTTTTCAGATGGCTTTGAAGGGATTTTTGGGGGGGAGGGGGTCCTCCTATTTGACACGTTCCAAGGCAACTGCAGGCTCGGCAAAAACTGGTTTGGCAGGGGTACTCTTGGGGCCTTTCAAAGATTCAAAGACTAGGGTAAACCATGGGTGAACGGTTTTCTAAAGTTTTTCGTTACAAAGGTCACCGTGTTCTCTAGAGCAACCCTGTTTGAATGCTTCATGCTCCCAACACACACACATTCAAGCAGCCCCACTCCTGCTTCTTGCCGGGTGTTTGGCAAATGTCCTGTTGTATTTCTTGTAGATAAATGCAGTTTCTATGAAAGCCCCTAAGGGTCAAAGTACCATCTAAGGACCTATGCTGACCCTTGCTTTGTTGTGCTTTCTTTAGTCGACCAGATCCTGATACAAACCATTTGCGCTTGACCCGTTTACCTGCGACTGGTTGCGACGGGGGAAGGCTAGGGCGGGGGAATGGCCAAGATTTCTTAAACCTCTTGGTCTCCTTCAGGTTTGCCTTCCAAATTGGCAGCCCGAAACCTTTCCAGGGCCCGGTATGTTCGAAGTCACACTTGCATGTTCAACCAACTTAGCTTCAAACCACGGCATGGGTAATTCTAACATGCTCGGATTGACGATCCGAATGGGAGCTTTCAAGTCGCCCTGTCCGGCCAGTCTTACCAGTACGCCTGCACCTTGATGAAGCCAGAGTACCGGAAGGATGTCTCGGAGCAGTGCGCGGGCTTCCATGTGAGGACCCTTACAAAGGACATCCAAGGACCCTACAGATAACCCCCGGGCCCAAACACCCCGCCAAATAGGGCCAAGGGAAAAAAAGGGCTTCAAGAGAGGCCAAACAAAGGTTGTTTCGGGGGTTGCAGAGTCCTTAGCCAGGGGAGCAGCCAGGTACAAGAAGAAGATTGAGAACATCGTCCGCAAGCCGCCCCCCGAGGCGGAATCCAGAGATGCTCTGGAGGCGGGTCCCGAATCAGAAAAGAATCCGGCCAGGTGTTTTTGATCATTGAGCCAGGATTAGTGTGTGGCATGGCGAAAAGGCCTGGTTGGTAGGGATGGCCATCAACATTTTGATAGGTTTTTCAAGCTCAAGAAGCGCATGACAGCGGAAGCCGGGCAAACATTTGAGCTCAAGCGAATTCAGACAAGAAGCTTTGACCGTGGCTGGTCTGGGCAAATTGGAACGAGCTCGCTTGGAGGTAAACCGAGCTCACCCTTGACGAAGGCCCTGAATTTGCTCAGGTTCAGAGATTTAATTTTTGGTCCAAGCACCCTTTCAGGTTCCTTGCTTTAATTTGCAGGGGAGGAAGGTTACAAATTGACCCAGTATTGGTCACCCCGTACTTACGTAGTTAGTAGTTACTGCATATGAGCGTGCCCCATATTTAAGAGGGGATCGGATCACTGTTGGGGGCCAACACCCCCGCATCCATTCGGCAGGTTCTATCTCTCAAGATTCAGCATCCAAGGTCGAAGTGGGTGATTTGTTTGCTTGGGGATTCCTTATGTCCAATTTGTGAATTCTAGCAATGAATTGGCCCAGATTGATTTGGGAGGTTCAGCTTTCAACATGCGCGTTAGGCGAGCCTGCCGTGCATGTACTGCGGCTTCAACTTTGCGGAGTCTCAGCTGGATTGCCTGGGGCCCAAGTCAGCCTGAAATGCGTGGGCTTGTTTTGGCCCCGGCGCGAAAGGAAAGCCACAAGGAAACCGCAAAATCCTGCGGCCAGAGCGAAGCATTGCTCTGCACAAGTTGTAGCCTGAGCTCATTTGGGGGAGTAAACAAGATCGGCCCCGTTTGGGACCCTGATATCATTCACGTGGGCGCCCAGTTCATTTCCGGGAAGAGCTGAAGCGGGTCTTGCCTTTGTGTACCCCACCCTCCCCAGCCCCTCGTATTCATAAATGTCACACCGACCCTCAAACCGCGTACACTTTCGCCGAAAACATGTGGGAAAGACATCCGAAAGCACGGGCCAGTTTTGCGGCACGTCACGTTTCGCCTGGGCGAAACGCAAGTTTCATCAGCCGGTTCTGCCTTTTCGGCCCTTTTCTGCATTTTACCATTTGGCAAGCTTGTGTGCGCAGTGCGGCAATCACGTGGGTAAGTGACATCGACCTCGCGAAGGGGCTTTTCAATCTACGGTGACAACCATGCCGCCTCTCAACCTGGGGATTCCTTCTCGTTTCAGTTGTGTGAAATTTATGTGGTAATTTTGCCAATGTTTTTGACATGCATGGCAGTCTTGGCCCAGGTCCACTTCCATGAGTAAACAGAATGGAAGCTTGGGTTCTCGATGGATTGCAACTGTCAGCCCACGCATCAACGACTGGGTAGGGCGCAGTCGCCTCGGTTTGTCCAGACATAGACACAACTAGGACGTATGCAGAGAAGAGCACAGCTTCTGGACTTCTGACAGCAAGCGACTCAACCTCTTGCGCGAGAAAACCCGGGTTCTTGCAGAGCTATTCCTGCTGCGCTGGAGAACGTTGACCTTGCAGACATTGTCAGCAAGCCTCCCCGCAAAAAATGCGGACAGTTTCTTGCCATTAATTAATATATATATATATATACACGCAGCGTTCTGCCCTCTGGATTGACCATTGGTTCTGGGGTGGGCTTCTGCAAAAGGCTGGTTTTGACAAAAGGCGGGGGAGATGCTCCAAAGTTCTTATAGGCCCCTAGATTCCCTTGTTGGTTGTCTACAGGATACATCTTGGCCATGTTGAACATAGTATCTTGTGAGCGCTGACATTGAAAGGACCAAACATTGCAGTGACTTGCGTTGCTATCTTTTGTTGGGTTGGATGGTGCTGCTTGGGTGGCCCAATGCCCACCTCTGAGGCTTGAACTGCAAGAACATCTCTCCCTTCTGCATTGCCAGCGGCATGCGGATGCTGAAGGAAGACTGGCTTCGGCCCCAGAGATCTATGAGCATGCGAGTACTTCCTATGGGGGCGGTCCTAGGATGGCGAACCTACCTTGTTTGCTTTTTGTGGCATTCAGGTTTGCATGTCTCTAAAAGGCGCCCCCCCCCCACCCATACATCAAAGCAAAAACAACATGGCAGTTCTTTGACCCAAACAAATGTGCAGTTAATAAGACCAACCAACATGTTTAAGTGTCGCCTGTCGGCTTGTCCTGAATTTAGCGGCCCTCAGAGAAGATTCAGGGATGTGTTCAGGGTGACCCGAGTGACCTTGCGCGTTGCCTAGGATTCCCTTCGAACCCACCAAAGGACAATCAGGACACTGAATAATTTCAAGTGAACACCCTAAACTGTGGCAGCAAATGTCGTGTGTTCAGCACGTTTTAGCTACAACACGGGCTTGTCTTTCTTGACTTGGTGGCTTGCAGCCATCTCCTTAGCTTTTCCGCCTTTCAGTGTTTAGTGGTAGTTTCCATTTAACCCACTAAAAGTTAAACTTTTAGCGGGGGATCTGAGGGCAGCCCAGTTGAGGGTACTCATTTTCTGGCTCGAACTTGTTGCTGAGGTCCAACTGTCCCGCTTGTAACTTCCCCGCGAGGCGCGCAAGCTCGGAAGGGGTGAGAGGCACCCAGCAACCAGACCACCAGACCTCCGGTGGGTGGTTTGTGTGTTTTTTTTTGAGGGGAAGGTTGTTTTTTTCGGAAGGTTTTTGTTTGGGAGGTGTTCTTTTTTTTGGGGGGAAAGCACTGCAAAATCCACCGGACCGCAAAGTACTTGATGGGCCTCTGACCGTGCTGTTTTGTTCGTGGCCTGGGGAGATGGGATGTCCCAAACTGGGATCCATTTGGCGGGCAGTTTTTCCGTTTTATTTGGCCTCGAAGGGAAGTGGGTGAAAATGTTTTGGTTTTGGTGTCGGTTTTCCTTTTGGTTTCCCTTCAGCACCAAGGGACTCAGAGTCTTTGGTCGGAACTTGACCGCCATAGGCTCTCAAGTGGGAATTTGGGTGGGTTGCTCCTTCAATTTCGAGAGCCTCCCCAACAAGACTTGGAGCGCGGTATTTGCCACTGATTTCATTTATCCGGTGGGAAGGGGCTGAAAGGAGCTCTGTCCAACTTTCAGAAACAGGGCCACTTTGAGGGAAACAGACATGAGGCTGTTTTAAATTGTCCGAGCGGCGGGAGGGAGCTGAAGGGGATCACTGCCCCGTCCTCACCAGCACCACCACCACCACCACCACCACCGCCAACAGCATCACCACTACCGCCTTGTTTAAACAATAATTCGGACTTTGGCCTGTGCGAGTGAAATGGCAACCCTAACTGGTCCATGTGCATTTGATGGGCTCTTTGGCAGGTTTCCCAACCATGGAAGGGTTGTTCACCCGGAAACAAGGCTTGTTCGCATCCAATTCGTTTTCAGCAACAGCCCAACACTTGAGAGGCACAGCCATCGACGACAATGCGTGTGTGTTTCCAGAAATCCAGGGACCTGTAGAGTGCGGGGTGTCTTTTTTGGTATAGGTCTCCCGACTTGGAGACCTCTGAGCTGGGCGGAAGGCCAAACTTGGGTGCCAACTTAGGCATCATGTTTTATTTGGGGCGAGGGGGGGGTCCCTGATGTTGATTGATCAGCTCATCTCAAAATATGACTTCTGAACATGTCAGCAACCATCTGCTTGCAAGCAACCTCATTTTCACCATCGCCATTTTTGCTGCGGGATGGCTACCTGAGCTCCGTTGGCCTGATTTCACACTCTTTCGGTTCGCTTAGATTGTCTCTTTCAGCTGGTTATTTTAAGTCCAACTATTTTCTCACCTGAGTTCATGGACTGAAACTTTTTGGGAAGACCATTGTGGTATCGAACATTATCGAACATTCGAACTTTGTTTGGCCAACGGGAGGTTCCCATTCAGAAGACAAACCCAGCTGGGGCACTGAAAGGGCCAGGTTCAGTGTTAGTTGACATGGATCACAACTCACTTGAGAGGCTTGCAACCGTGGCTTTAGTTTGATATGGTTCCAAACCGGGATTACATCTACTTAGGCAACCTGCCCCTTTCAAATGATAGGACAATGAGCCATGCACAGACGTCTCGCAAGGCACTCAGTCTTCACTGCAGCCCTACAGGCGCCAAATGGGGGGTGGGGTTGGATCTGGAAAAATGCTCGTGCTCGGGCCTCATGATGAAAGCCCTTTAGTTGGTTCTTGTTTTTTTGTGAATCATTGTAATTTGCTCAGAACTGCCAAAGAGTTGGCTTGTTTTAAGGGACAAAATCCGCCCATTCAGAGGTTCATCTAAGTCAATAAATACCAGTATCTGTGAATCCATGGCCGTTCTGAGGCACTGTGGCAGGATTTCCATGAATAAGCCTTTATACGGGGATAACTAACTTGTCAAGCTTTGCCTTGTTCCTTTTCCTTGGCCTTTCTTAACCTGATGGGCATGGGTTGCAGGTGATGCCATGACATGGATAATGTTGCGCATATTGGCAGTCATGGATAGTCATGGGTATCATTGGGTATCCATGACTCGCCCCATCCATACAGTGTCCGATGTTTTGTCATGTCAGGCTGCTTCCAATTGAGGCGTTTGGCAGCTTGCTTTCGGCGGGCAGTGACAGTCCAGACTGCTACTTTGCCGGCTACAACGCTCCCAACTTCGGCTTCACATGGTGCAGGTTCCGGCTCGGTGTTCCACCGAAGTATTTGCAAGTTGGTGACCGGTCCTTTGCGTATGCAAAGGCAACAACTGAGGTGAGGTCTTGGTGCAGCTTGGCACTTGTTTTTGGTGCAACTTCGTCAATTGTTGTGCTGTTCCGTGCAGATCCCTTTCTTTTCGTTGGTAGAGTTGTGTAATACTGCGCAGATGTTCTTGCATGGGGATGGATGCAAGGGGAGTATGGCGAGTCCGAGGGAGCGATACCATCATGGATGCCCCTCTCCCCGAGCAGTGTCATTGTAGCAGCTTCCCAGATGCCCTGATAGTCTCGACCTCCCTGTGTGCCGGCCTTTTGGCCTCATTGCCAGAACGAACAACAACAGTCAGGATCTTGCCCTCCCCGCCCCCACCCCCCCCTCCCTCCCGTGCTTCCCGTTTTGTACCAGCTGTAAAATCTAGAGATAGAGAACTCTGGTTCCCTACCGTAGTGCATTGGGTGGGAAAGGGACCCTGAAATCCGCGCCCGTTTCGTAGGTCGCCCCATGTTGAGACAGAATATTTCAGTTGACCTGCCAATCTGTTTGACATTCTCATTTTTCTGGTTGGTCTACGTTGAGTTCGTGTTTGGTTTTCTCCTTTGCTTTGCAGGGCCCGGGGTTTGGGCACCAAACCGAATGCGATCCCAGGCCAACGAGCAGTGCCCCATGTGTGACTCAGTGGTGAAACCTGCAGCCCGGCTGCACCGGAGCCGGTCCACCGGAGGTTTTTCTCAAAGGCGGGAGATGTACAATGCAAGCCCCTGGGTATCACGAGCTCGTCCGGGGATACAAAAAAAACATTGCTGCCGGGGGTGAGCAAGCTCGCCGATGATGAAGGTTCCGTACCTGAGGCATGCCATGTCCGTTTGGGTGGTTTTTCAATGGCTTCAGATGTGGTTTTGCAAGGAATATCCCCCATGTGGTGCTACAACAGCTAGCTCTACGAAGCAGCACATGTTCATATATTCATTTGAACCAATTATGGCAAGCTCACCTCAACGTAAAAAATCGCTCGTCGATTATGAAAGTAGG